TCCACGGTCAAGGCGCACTGTCTGCAACATACTACATGTCCACAGGGAATGAAAGCAGGAACTCTCCTTCGTGTCACACTGTCACACATACCACACACAGAGCTCCATCTAGAATATCATCTTCATCTTCTGTCTCATCAGCAACCACGTGTTGCTCTGGTCTCTGTTCATCTGGATTCTGTTGCTGTTCTCTTTCATGGTGCCACAGTTTCCATCTATTCCAGGCCCTGAAGATAGAACAGAGTTAGATTCAAAACACTATCTAAATCCAAAACTGTATGTTTCTCACTAGCAAAGTACTTGACAGCAGCAAAGCCAAGGATGCCAACAGACAAACATCTCATGATTACACCGCCCCAGAATATGACACTGGTAGTCTCTGTAAGGTCCATAATTATCTTGTCCTTAGTCATCTCTGATCTGCAAATATTATTCAAAAATATTTATACATGAAACTGCAAGAGAGCCAATTACAACATTGGACTAGGTATTGTTAAAACTCACAAGAAGTAAGGAAGATTTTGGCAGGATTTGATTTCAGGAACTCCATTGTTAAAACTACAGATGCCAACAGCTGTTAAGTCTCTCCCAGGTGGTAATATCTTTTCTACATCAAGCAGACCAACCTTGGAAGAAGAAATGATCACAAAAGTTAAAGAAAAAAGGAAATGGAGAAGAACAAGTAAACATCGGATCCTCAAAATATATACTCACGGGATACTCAGGGAAGAATAAGGCTTGAAGAAACGCATAGGGAGATGAATTAATAGGCTGCAAACGATTATAAACAGTGGTAAGTGGAAGAGGTTGCCTTGCACCATCCATGTTAACAAGGATAAAATTAGACTGCGATGGTTGAGAGTTGTCCACTATAACAAACGAGACCCAATTAATTTGGGATTAATAATGGGTTGATTTTTTAAAAATGTCGGGTGGGTTAATTTTAGTTGGGTGATCGCTATTTTCTAAACGCAATTTTTAATTCATTAATCACGATTAGAGAATTCAATTAGAAAGGGGGGTTTAAAAAGTTTAGGGGGAAATATGAAGAGAAAATATATGTTTGGGTGGGTTAGGAAAGAGCTTAGTAGTTTAGGGGGGAATAAGTAGGGTTTATGTGTTTAAAGGGGGGAATATGCAGTCAACCCCCTTTAAAATCTTCTCTTCTTATCTCTTTCTCTAAAAATCTAATTTTTTTGGCTATTTCACAAATAAACTCTTTAATCAAAAACAATTTATATTGACAATAGGAAAAAAAAATCGAAAGATTAAATTGTTCGCAGTCAAGACATAGATAGCACATTTATTAGTGTCTTTATATCGATCTATCTATCTATCTATATAAAGGAAGCTTTACTCCCTATAGATTCTGCCACGTCACTAAATCAATGACTCCCGGCGTGACACTTATCAAATTGTCAAGATACGCTGCGTTTCGTTTCGTTTTTATTCACCTCATACGGGTTTTTAGTGTTTAATGGCTCATACAAAATTTCCTGGTCTGGTCCGTTAATTCGGTTTGGTCATGTCGTGTCTCCCCTGAGATGTGAAATTAAGGTTCTTCGTTGCACTTGCCGTGACGCTTCAATTTCTACTGTCCAGATGATGCTTCACCGGAAGCGGTCTCAAAAACTTTAATAATCACATTAACTCCTCCACCACGATCTGTGATCACGCTCGTCTTATCTTCTGAGAGTCGGTAAAATAACAGATATATATATATATATATATATATATATATATTCATACTCTTACTTGCCTTGAAAATCATTCACACACTTTCTCATCCTACTAAAATTTTCTCTAATGGATTCCTCTAGAGCTTTTTCTCGGACTTGAAGTCCGGCCGGTGCACCTCAACCAACGAAGTTCGCCTGCTCCGGTTCTGGGAGGCGAGGAATCCCAAGCGTGGAGGAGAGCTGCTGTGGTCGACCTGCTTATGGTCGGCGTTAATGTAAGAATCTACTTCATATTTCTGTGAATTTTGGAATTAATAATTCCAACTACATGTATTCCTAATGATCGTTATTTGTTGGATTTCCAGAGTTTCTTAATTTATCATTTCCGGAAAATTGTTTCACAATTAATGTTGTATTTTGTTTGTTTCTGTCGCAACAATTATGCAAGCGAGCATTGGTGCAAACCGTGTGCCAACTTTCTGGCCAAGACTCACCGCCGGCGCGATGTACTCCCTTTCCGGTTTTGATGTCTGTCGTTGTGCCCAGAACTTTCGCTTAACCGATTGATCCTTGCTGATCCAGTTTTCTGATTCAACCGTTTTCGAGGAGATAACCGAATCGGTTTCTCCGCTTCCTGCAGAGGAATTCTGGTTTCGTGATCAGACCGAATTTATTGGTCTAGCTAACACGAGCACTCAGCTCCCAGGAATCTATAAAAATGCTTCTCAAAGACATCTCTAGAAAATTATTATTTACAGATTTTCTGGTTGCAGACATTATGGGTGAGCTTATTGCAGTGAAGAGCACTGTGAGTGATCCTTTAGCAGAGAAAATATATTAATAAGCATACACTCACATCTCTTTGAGCTTATTTGATCATCATGTCTTTGACTGTATAAGATTGTTCAATCGTTCTTTGATGTTGTGACGGATACAAGTGCATTGGTTGTATTGGGAGTAAGCTTGGTGGTTTTTTTGATGGGAACGCTTCAACACGAAGAATCTGATTTCGTCAAATGGGGAGAGATATTGATTCGTGACTCTTGAGTACAAATGATATGGATGAAAACTGCATTGGATCTTTTTCTGAGTCATCTCCAATTCCACTTTCGTGCCATCTCCTTAACCTGATACTGAACGCTGCTTTTAAAGTCACCAAGAAGCTCCAAAGGTGGAGAATTTTGCAGCTGGTATGCTTTGGGATTTGTGTAATACTACTAAGAGGCTTTCGTCACAAAGTGTGGAGCATCGTTCATGTGCTGTTACTTTCCTCCTCCGTGCTATTTTCAAGGCATTCTCTTTTCAGTCTTCTCTGAAGATCTCACTTCAAGGAAATGTGTACATACTATCAAGGTAAGGTCAAAGAAACAAAGATTTATGCGCTTTT